AGCGGAGACTTCTGCTGCGCTTCACTACAGGGTCCCTAATATCCTTTGGATTGAAGGCGCTTTAGTTTCCGCTCCAAGCCCGGGACAACATTAGATGGGTAAAAAGGTAAGAATTTCCTAAATGCATATGGAGTTATCTGAAATCATGGCTCTAGTATTCAGTCCTCTCCCCTCCTCCTCCCTTTTCTCCTCCTTTTTCTCTCTCGCCCCTTCTTTCTCAATTGTGTCCCTCGCCTCTGGCAAATGGGAGTCATTTGTTTGTGTGAACTTCCCATAACCCGCAGTGTGTGAGACACTTATCATTCAGAGTGGGGCTGCTTCGTCCCGAGTTGTAATACCTCTTCTCTTCTCTTCTCTTCTCTTCTCTTCTCTTCTCTTCTCTTCTCTTCTCTTCTCTTCTCTTCTCTTCTCTTCTCTTCTCTTCTCTTTGCCATGTCTGTTCCATTTGACATTTACCATGGTTCATCATAAACAAGTCTCCATATTTCTCTATTCTTTCATTCCCTTCATAATCCCTGCTACCTTTTTTCTCCCTTTACAGTACACCCCCTGCACTCTCATTCTCTCTCTCTCTCCAATCTCATTTCCTATGTAATCTCAGGCTACAGAGGACCATTTTCATTCCTGCTCTACTCATCTTATCATCCACCCTGTCACCTCCTCTGTCTGCTGTCCTTTTTTATATTCCTTTATTCTAACAAGTCTGCATCTGAGAACCCATCAATAGTCCACCCCTTTTCATTTCCCTAATGTAACCCCCCACTTGCACGCACATACACACAGCACTGTGTGGCCCTAACCCTTAATTTCATCACCGTAACCTGTTCCCCCTTCATTGCAATGTGGTGGACCCCGCTCCCTACAACTATGTAATTGACTGTGTGTGTGTGTGTATGTGTGTGTGTGTGTGTGTGTGTAGCCAGCAGTGCACTATTTTAAATCTGCGTGTGGATTATCTCTGCAGGTCAAAATGAACAGCAACAAGACAAAGCAGATAACTTAAAGAAGGAAGAAGATGTAAAGAGGTGAAAAAATTGTGAGACAAAAATAAATATGAAGGTGACGAAAGGAGGGTGAGACTGGGAGGGACAGACAAAGAGGAAAAGAGTGATTTTAAGGAGGGAAAGCTGTCACTGAAGGCCGAGGTGAACCCTCACCCTCATGCTTGCTTTAATCCCTCATTTATGTGAACTCAGCTTTGGAAATGAAGCTGTCTCTGTATTTTTCTTCCCTTCACCCATCCTGTGGTATAATCAGAAACCACACATGCATTCAACACACACACACACACACACATATACACAGTTGCAGGACAGAGACACAGAAAATCACTCAGGAGAGGTTTTAAATTCATTCCAGAGTTAGAGGCAGAGATTCATACCGCCTCACCTTGTCTCCTAGAGGAGAAATCATCGGATATGTTAGAGACAGAGGGGAATTATGGGTAAATGCACTGGTGAGGAATGATAGTCTGCAATCTCCGGCTGTAATCTCGGATCGCTGACACATGCCATTCATTTCAGACTGTACCAATATTCTCCTGCGTGGTCTGGAGCCAAAGTGTGTGACTTTGCAATTTTTTAAGCAATTTTCCATAAAAAAAATAAATCACAGTTTTAAATCACAAATGCAAAGTTACATTTAAAAAAAGAAATAAATAAACGCTGAAAACCACTCTCTTTAAAAATCTTTATTGCTTAACTAGTCCTGAAACTTTGATCTTTAATTCGTTTGGGAAAACCACAGATGAAGAATAAATGGTAAAAAGAAACATGTCAGTGTGTTTCACGCTTTAAAACATTAAATAAAATGACTGATATAGGCACTGTGACATCTTAAATGTTGCAGCTAAATGAAGGTGGCTTGTTGCATTTGTTAATCTTGTTTAGATTTTTTCATTCTTTTATTATTGAAATTGTGATTATTTTAATCTTTTATTTGGCTTAGGATGGCAGAAGAAGAAGGAAATATATATGCACGCAACCAATAAAATGCAACACGTCCCTGTGGAAACAACAGGACTGTACAGCCATCTAGTGGTCATGACAGAAAAAGGCAGTGTGGATTGTTATTTGATGAACAGATGAGAATAGGGGGATTAACTTTTTGCTCTCAATACTTATACAACAAATAATAATATTGCAGTTTGAAATCAGTTTTTCTCCAAAGCAAGTTAATCGATGCCCTATCAGCTTAGCCACTCTAGAAGCAATGGCCACTTTAGAACTTCTCAATCTTAAGTGTAAAATTAAAACATGCAAACCTAAGAACCGGCTAAGGAAGACCAAAACATTTCACAGTTGCATCCTTCTTTTGTTCCTCCTTCTGTCTGTCTCCTCATCCCTTTGTTTCACCTTCCTCAGGTGGAGTGAGTATCATACTGGTTTGTAATAGCGTGCTGTCAGTGTGGGCCGCTGTGAGGTGAGGTGTGGGGAGGAGAGCAGTGCGTCTCAGATGAGATATGTGACTGGCATGCTAACACGCAGTTTTATCTGAGCAAAAAGAGAGAGAGACAGGGCCCCCACATCTCCTCACTATAGGCCTTTGATTAAAGCTCCCCAGGTACGCACACATACTCACAATTCCAATAACACACACAGGAGTGTACACACACTCACCCGCTCGGATTCTAAATAAATTGCAGCTGGGAGAACACACACACACACACCTACTGTATATGCACATACACACATTTTTCCGTTGCAGGTGGTGTTGTTCTGACCTAAGCCAGGTAGCTTGTCCATTATGGAGTTGATAGGAGGATTTGGCCATGTTGATTCTAGACAACATCATCTCCTCCGCCATAAATAACCTGAATGTTTTCTCTGAGTCACACCACAATATATAGACAATAAGAGCTCTCAGCTTTATCCCTGGGTTGCATCCACTGCACGCAAACAATCACACATACACATAAACCTCCATAAAATGATTGCGTGTGGACGGACGTAAGCAGAATCACAGATTTAAAAGTACAGTTGGCCCCTGCTCAGCTTAGTTTTATTGTAAATTACAGCTTTGCATTCGAGTTTGGTTTCAATGTTTGTCTCAAAAATGTGTTTTCCTCAGATGGACCACGGGGGGAAGCTGGTTTGATTTTAGATGAGCAGCGTCGTCCGGCGCTGTGGTCTCAATAGCTTGCCAATAAAGCTTTGGATACAAACTGTATACCCCTGACCAGTGGAACTATGGGGGAGTGTGATGACTTCCATGAGGGAAGTAATAGACAAGCCACACTCACTATTACTGAATGTGGGTAAACCATATTGAAATATATTTCTGCCAATTTTTCATTATCTGTGTCTATATTGTCTTCCTTTCCAAATATGGAAAAAAAGTCAATTTTACCTTTTTTCTATTTAGCAAAAAAACCCTATACTGAAATTACTTTTTATGGTTGTAGAAACAGATAAATTGGAAAGGAATCATCTTTTTTTCCAGACATTTTTTTATTTGTTTTATAAAACACAAAAATGAATGAATGCATAGACATATAATATTTCATATATTACATATACAACAAGTAGTACACCTGGCACGCTGTTGTATTTCACCTCTTGACAGCTAGAGGGTAGTACTGTGCTACAGCATAATGTACTGAATGGCAAGGTCATTACAGTTAATCCAAATCGACAAATTCATTCACAAGCACTTCTTAAAGATTGTCTTTTAATCAACATATAAATTCAGAAATGTACACATCATCAGTACAAACCAACCAAAATATACAGCTGATTCAAGAAACTGAATGGATTTTAGATTTTCTGTAATTTTGAATATATACAGCAAGTTAAATATTATCCACATTCCTTTCTGTATTTATCATGAATTTCATTACTGCAACACTGATCTTTATTATATTAATATACATATGTATATCAGTCAAGTCTCATTGTGTAAGCTATGTGTATTATAACTCAGTATCAAATATTAACCACAAATTTAAATATATATATATATATATATAATTTTAACTGTCATTTACTTCCTGTGTACATACTGTAGTTTAGAGGTGAGCACAGTTTTAGATGTATTAGGCCCAAAAGAACAGTATTATTTTTGTGATAGCCAGCTTTTTTTCCTGAGTATCTTTAATTTTTTTATATGTATTTTTTTTTTTTTTGCAATAGCTTTTTTTCCTATAATGAATAAAAGCAATTTTTGTACATTCACATATTTTCAGATAAGCTATAAACTGTACAGTTTAGTACATTAGGATTGATCTACAGTAGATATATGTTTTATATATATGTATAACCAATCAAGTAAGAAATTTAAGACAAGAAAGAAAGTTAAAAAAAACATTTTCATTTCACTAAGCAAGAAGGGTGCCTTACTGACTTGAATACCATCAGTCAGTTAATGGTTTTAAGTAACCACATAGATGCACAACTTCCTTCATTAATCCCAGTTTTGCAGCAGAATATTAAACTCTGAGGGCTCAATTTTCTTGAGACCGAACACAGATGGAAGCTCAGACACAAAAGCAGCAACGGGTGAAACAGAAAGCACACAAATTTCAAAATAAAAATCAAGATACATCACCTTAAATAGGCTGTCAGCAGTGCTTATTTAAACAGACCCATTTATGTCTTAAAAGTAAAGTCGGCATTCTAAATATAAAAGAGTCTCTCTGCAAAATACCAGTTTAAAATACTCATCAAACAAAATAAACGGTCTTCAGGTCACTTAGAGATAATTTTGTTAAACAAACGGTCAGACTGAAATTCAGCGAAACCATGAAGAGAGCTCCTGCCGCCACCATCTGGATTTTTTTTTTCTTCCGGTGTGCTGCAAGCTTTTATCTTCCTTACTCAGCACAGCGAAATTAAAGGCTACTGGACTCCTGCAGGAGTCTATCCCTGATATTTAAAAAAATTAATTTGGAAGGCATGCATTTGAGCTTGTTTTAAAATGTTTTCACCAACATGTTTACTTGTTTAACATTCAGGTTGAATGAAAGTCATGTGAGCAAATATTTATGAATATGATTCCAGTGGTCAAAATGAAATATTATACAAATATAATGTGAATATATATAAGTTTAGATAGAGTGTGGACTTTGTATTACACAGAATATATACATATATATACGTATGTGTATATATATATATATATATACATATGTGTGTGTGTGTGCACGTATTTTGATGGAACTCGGGACTCATCCTGGGGACAGCTGCATTACTCCAGATGATTTCACTGTTAAATCTCTGAGAAATAGCTTTCTAGTGTGATGCTCAGAAAAACAGAGGACATGCCTTTAGTTGACGGATCCTGCTGCCAAGTCTGGAGATTTAAATGAATAATAAAGTTGCTGCTGTGCCATCATCGCAACTTAAATACAATCCCTCTTTCATATCAGTGACTACAGTGGAAGCACACGTATCATTCTTGCTGCGGTGTGATGACTATGGGTAAGACATGGTCTGAGCGTGTTTTAAGGCAAATACAATTTTGTGCTAAAATGAGCACCAATATTTGACTGCGCCGCCTGATCAGGAAACCCAGAGCCTGCGCTGCCAAACACTCTGGTGCCAGGAAATAAGCAAATAAGCATAGACACACACGCAGACACACGCAGACACACACAGACAGCGTTGTACCTGAAAAAGACTGCATAAAAATTGTGCTTTTCTTTTGTGAGTTTTGCCACTGTAAGAAAATAAAACCTTGAAATGTGGTGCACATAACTGGTTAGGATAGCCAGGAGCTCCAGGAGTCATGGGGTAGGAAAGTCTAACTGTTGACACTGAACAGAGATTTCTGTCATAATTTTCATACCATGCCTGGATAATGAACAGGGGGCAAGGAAACTGATCTGCTGTCAGATTCGTTGACATAATGCAGGAAAGAGTCAGGGGTCTGTCTGTGCAGAAGGTGAAGGGCTCGCTGGAGGACAAACAGGCTGGGGAAAATGTTTGTACATTTCCGGTGCAGGACCCTGCGGGGGCGATGGGATGGGAGTGTCTGGAGAGGCTGCAGGAAAAGAGACAGGGACAAAGCAACATTTGTGTGATATACATACATATATATTACAGATTTTAATTACTTTGTTGAAGCATAATTAAAAAAAAAAACCATTTTGTTTTTGGACACACTCTTTAGATAAGATAACGTATGTGTTTGTTTGTGTGTATGTGTGTGTCACGTTTGCTCCAGTGTTACTGAATGCACTTTACATGACTGCATGCATTTTTGTTTGTGTGTGTGTTAACTGATAGCATCCAGAAACTTACCTATTTGTGGAGTGTGATTGACAGGCATGGTACTGATGACCAATGTGTGTCCAGTCACAGGGTCCTGGGCCAGCTGGGTGTGTGCTGAATGGTGCAGGTGTGTGGGTTCTGTTGTAAGCCCTTAAAATATAACACAGGTGCAAATAAACTTCAACACACAGTGATGAAGTTGTAACCAGAGTAATTTTGCAGATTTCTTCCTACTTTGTTTCATGCTCTACTTTATGTTCAGGGGTGTGGATAAAGGGGGCACCTGGGGTGCCACTACCTCCCTGAAATTTGATTGCCACTCCTTGTTGCCCCCTTAAAGCTGTGTTGCCATGTCAGATAAATGTATAATTAAATGTAATAATAAATGTATAATTATGTAGTGCTAAATAAGTTAAATGCAGTGATAAAATTTTGAAAGATGGACCCCCTCTCATCTACCTCAGTAGTCTGGGCTACTGCCTACCATCCCCTGTAAATGTAGAGACTATGTTATTTATGTATACCACTCAGTAAAATTAAACATATATACTGTTGTAACCAGACTAACTTTTATTAAGCTTTTACCATATTACAGTTGCAAAGCGGTTAGGTTTTTGAGTGTTTCTACAGGTGAGAGGTCTGTTCACATTAAAATATATCAACTCACTGAATTTTCAGCTAGTTTGTTTGTATGTGTGTACATATCCTATTTCCTTTTAAAAAGATGGGCCAACCTGAATGAAACTTTGTACAGACATTGTCACATATACAGTAAATCCCAGTTCTTTTGATTTTGGTGTATCATGTTCACTTCATCATTCCCCTGAGGATGCCATGTTATGTTCTCCGATATGTGTATGTCGCCCATACGTGATTTCGCGGTCACGAAAATTTGAATTAATGAGAGAGTTCTGTTCGAGTCACCACTGAATACAGATAAAAGAATAAGAAATATGGTCCTTAAATATCACAGCCGTAGAACTTAACAGGTGACATTTCATTTCAGTAAAGCTAAAGAAGCTGTAAGTACTGCAAAAAGTTTTTATGTAAAACTAAATTTTTCATTTTGGTTATGTGGGTGTTGTTAATAATTCCTGTATTATATACACAATATTTCTTTAAAATATAAATGAATTACTATGAAGGCAGCAGTTTGAGGTTAAAAGACCAAAGGCAGGATGTGAAACCATGAGGCTACAATTGTGATCTTAAATTATTGTAGAAAGTTTTTACAGATTTACTATCTCCTAAAGCCCCTTTTTTAAAAAAAAATTACAGGTCACATTTTTGTCTGTTTTTGGTGATTATTACCAGACATACTAACATAACCTGTAAGCCGTCTTTCTTTCTGTTTAAACAAGTTTATATATACATATATGTCTGTGCCATTCATGAGTAAAGCTAAAAAAAATTACTTATGATATGAGAAGACACATTGTTTTTTATAGATGTTTATAAGCTATATAGGATCTTTGTGCAATTTCCTTTTGTCTTTGAGTTTTGCTTGATCATACTCATTGCTAAATATATGTCATCTTAACAGAATTTGAATAGCCTGAGAGTTTTTATTACTGCGTTTTGTGTGTGGTTTTGTTCTACGTTCTGACAAGATGCTGGCAAATGCAACAAACGCAGCTATTTCTGTGCTCTTTCTTTTAAGTCGGGTTGTCATATCATGGAGGGGTTTTTTAAGCATATATGGTGAAAACTGGAAAACATTTTTGGAGATGACTTTTTAGTTTATGTCTCAAGCTTCAATTGTCTGTCATGGCCCTCCTGAGAATATATTTGATGCACTGTAGCTTTAACTTCAGATTTCCCGTATTTATATACATTTAGATGTGTTTGCAGATGTCCCTAGCAGCATCTTATGTACCCGGTTTATTCTATTTCAGCTTAACGTAATATAAATATAAATATAAATGCGTATTGTACAAAGTTATTGTGTAAAATCTTTAACTTTTTGCCTCCTGTATATAAACTAGAAAACTTTCGAGCAAGTATTCTTTTCGTTTTCCGCAGTGCTTCATAATTCTGCACTGAGGAATTTCAGCAGAGGATTTGGTGGTAGTGCTCAAGGTCAAATTTGTTTTTTCTGCAGATTTACAAGCACAGACATCAGCCAATCTCACCTCCTAGAAGCATTTCATGCAACAGGTTGTCTATCTTGGCCAGGCCGCAAAACTTAATGAACTGGAGCTGTTCGATCATCTGCCAGGTGATGCTCTGCAGGGTGGGCAGCAGGAGTAACAGCTCTCCAAAACGACCCCTGGAGTCATACTGACGATCATTAATGTAGTCTTCCAGACTCATCTGAACCTGTGCGCACGCACAAACACAGAGTCCCTATGTGGTCACTGTCATTATAGGCAAAATCCATTTTTCTTTTATTTTGCTGACATATTGAAAGAAGATGTGCATAAATTAAAAGAAAAATACATGATGACATTGAGGTTGACATTGACAGGATGGTTGCTTTTGAAATCCAAATCATTTACATGACTGAAAATTTTAAAAAAAAAGAAAGAAAAAGCTAAAAAATATCCTAGAAAGACCAGATGTCTTGCAACAATCTAGAAAGGTCAAATGCTTGACCTACCTGCAGTCGCATGGTCTTAATCTTCGAAGGATCCCGCAAAGACTTTGCATCTGCAGAATGGAAGGCAAAGCAAGGAAGGGGGGTTGCGTTAAGGCGGGGAAGGGATATATGACAGGATTGAGGGACGGGGCAGCACAGGATAAATAAATAAATAAAAATGGGAAGATCATGGATGGAATTGCGGATATGAGTGGAATTGATGGAATGATTATGGTCAAACTTTGGCATGAAGTGCAAAATGAAGGATTTAGTGAAGGGGATAGAAAAGGGAGGGAGTAACAAAACATGGGGGCAGGGATTGTGGTCACACTAGGGTAACGTAAAGAGGCAAGAGAGGGATTGGGACCTAACTTTGAGGGGAAATCTAGCCGGGACATGTTGGGAAAGATGGATATGGGCAAAAAAGGCAATGCAGACAAGATAAAATCGTCTGTTCAAATTGATTGTGATGTCTGTCATCATCTGTGGTTTACTATTTTTACTGGTTCTGGGGTTAAATGCCACTTTTTATTCATTACCTGGGTCAAAAAAGACAATAGCCTTGAGTGCTGCAAACTCGTTGTCATCTATTTGTATTTCCTGGAAGGGCCGCACCAGCTCATCCAGGACTCTGTTGGCTACCCTACAGATCTCTGGTTCAGGACTGTCTCTGTGGATCACACAGCCATTACCTGCAGGGACAGTGAGTAAGGTTAGCGGCAGTGTTGAGATGAAGTAGGTATTGAACATGGGTGTGTATGAGGTGGAGCGCTGTGGTATGTGCTTTTGGAGCCAGGTGGATTTTTGTTTCCTTCAGAGAAACTTGTAGACTCTCTTTTAGGCAGGGCAATGGGCTATGGAAAATAGGTGTGGAGATCTTAAGAAGTATAAAAGTGCCTGATTGTTTGTAGTTGCTTACAGTATGATGTACTGATAATGAATAATGTAATTTATATGAAAAACTTTTGAAGTCACAGAGAAACAGAAAGCTTTAGTTAATCATTCTAAGTCCACATGACTTCACCACACATAAGGAAGAGGCCTTTCTAGTCATTGGTTTCTACCTAAAAGCAGGAAGTCCTTGAATGGCATTGACCTTTTGGCAACCCCAAGCAAGAGGTGTTCACCAGCATGAGCCCGAAGCAAGCTCACCTATGGACAAACACACACAGGTAAACAAAGAACAGAAACAATGTAACAATGCCTCAACAATGCCCTAGTGGTCTGTGTATGCTAATTTAAAATAGCATTTAATCATTACCTTCAAATATTCTGTTTTCAAACCTCGCACACCAACAAGTGCTGAAAATTAGTTTCCAAAACCAGACATGAGATAATAAGTACAGTATTGTACAAATGTCCTGAGTCCACCCTCATTTCTCTATATTTTGGTTCCAAGTGCTTGCTTCTAATTTTTTAAAGTGGTCTTGATCAATAGTTCTCCAGGATGTCTGGAGGGCTTTGTACCTGACTGTTTTCAGAGGAATGTTTATTTGTTTTGTTTCGCTCTGCATTTTGTTAAGCTATTTCAAATGGACCTATGAATCATTCAAGCATAAAAAAGGAGTGTAACTCAAGGGATTAACCAATGTTCTGTCTACACATAACAACTCTGGAAAAGAAACCATTTTAAATTGTATCTTTAAGCACTTTGTTGCTAGCAACCTAAAAAAAAACACAATTTCTTCCCCTTTCCTTAGTTGAATTTATGGCAAATGCCAACGATAACTACGGAAGAGGATTAGGGCCACTGGGACAAAAAAAGAAGTGGGCACGTCTTTTTTTTTTCTTCTTTTCCTGAATTCTGAGAAAAAAGACAGAATTCTGAGATTAAAGTCAGAATTCTGACTTTAATCTCAGAATTCTGACTTTAATCTCAGAATTCTGACTTTTTTCTCAGAATTCTGACTTTTTTCTCAGATTTTTTTTCCAGTGGCCCTAATCCTCTTCTGTAGATAACACAGTTTCACAGGCATAAAATATATATATTTTTGCACCTGCAAGGGGATTCTCAAAAAGCTGTTACTTGAAAATTTGGCATATCTCAGCAATGTGTGTAAAAACATGGAGAATCTGTACAAGTGGAGGATAAAAGACGATGCGGCAAGCCTAAACAGTATGTGCAGAAGATGAAGAGTAACTGAAAGTCACGTCGTTAGGAAATAGGAAAACTCCAGCAAGGACCTCAGCAACTAAAAGGTGCATCTGGCCCTTCAGCTGTTCACCAAGCCTTAGTAGAAATAGCCTCAGTGCAAAGGTGGCTGTCAAGAAGCCATGGGCAAGAACTGGACTGTGTCATTAATATATACAAAGGAGATCAGGAGAGAGGCACAGCAGTGAATGTCCACAGAAACCTGTAAATTACGGTGGAGGCTCTCAGCCAGTGGTGCTGTGAATCTTGTCAAACATGGATTGGCCTCGCAAGAGCCTGGACCTTAACATTATTGAAGCAGTGAGACTTAATTGGGACTGAGAACATAACATTCAAAGAATAGCTTTAGAATGGCCTTTAAGACTACCTCAAGAAATGGCAAGAAATTTTTAGGTTGAATTGGATATTAAAGGCAGTCATACAAAACTTCAAGTTCCTTAGGATTGTCCAAACTCTGTACAAAGTCTTTCCATGTATGTTTTTAGATGTTACAGTACATTGCTATAGCCATTTGCTCTCATAATATTAGGAAGTGAGGGGCAGCTCAAGACTTTTGCACAGTACTGTATGCATGACACTCATTACATGCAAAGAAGAAATGTCACAGTCACAGATTGCAAATCAGGCAGAACAGCCAGTTACCTGGTCATCCAGTGGAAGTTCTCCAAAAGTAGGAATATATTTGGCCCATTCCACCAACACCAATAACTGCTGTCTCATAGAATCACATATGTCCCCTACAGTTGCTGACTTCTGCTCTGACAAGTCTGCTATTCCAACCGGAGTAGTGCTCTGCCGGAGAAGAGGAATTGAACAGCTTGCAGGTTAGTCACTCATGTTACTGATAAAGTTAATCAACTAACATACAAACATAGAAGAGATTTAAAATAAGACATTTATAAAAGGGATTATCACCTGGTGCGACAATGATTCTGCTTGGGCCAAAATAGTAATGGTTGGAAGGTCTTGG